AAACATTTCATACATAAGTTAAAAGTTCAGTCCTCTTTAGGGCAACTATTTCCTGAAAAATTTTTTGAATAATATTTACAGCTTTCAATTAAACTAACAAACAATACATAATGATAGGTATCAAATATTCACACATTTGTACAGTTTATTCAGACATACATCCTTAAAAAAAATAAAAAAATAAAACAGTGAAAATCCTAAACGACAAATACGCAAATGATGACTATCATGACCAACAGTAAAATGCACAACAAATTTTTTCTAAAAAAATGGCTTGCCTGAAAGTTGAAAAATTTGGCGCTTGCATTTTATGCAATTTAACATGGAAGGCTGTTAAATCTTCCATTTCTTGCCTGGCTTTTCGCATCATTTTCAGCCTGTCTTCAGCCACTGTAACAGGTTTCTTACTAGATAAAGTATATATAAGGGGAAAATTCAAACAGCGACTGTAAGTTACTGTCACGACGATGAAACTGTGTCGAAAACAAAAAATTATTTCCGTTGAAGAAAAAAGTATAATTCTTGCCGGCTAACAAAAATGGGATGTGCTTAAGGGGCGTTGAGCTTGCTGTGAATAACTTCAATCCTCGAAAAAACAAAATCAATTCACTTTGATGATGAATACCATTTTCATGACACTTATTTAATCGCAGATAAAACTGGCTATTTGTTATTCAAAAAAGTTCAAAGGATAGGAAAGAAACTGACGTGCACTCATGCGCCCAGACCGAAAATCATCCAGCAGAGCGGTTAAAGACTGCTCAAGGGCTTCTATATCTGCAGCACTGTCCGGTTCCAAGTCAAATCGTTCCAGGCCACCTCTGGCTCCCAGCTGATTACTCGGCGAAACAGAAGCTTCTCCGCGATCTGCCTTGCTATTGGATGGCGATGCAGCACTCATCATTTCATACCACTCGTCTGCAAAACAACCCTAAATTAGACGCGTAAAAAAACCATATTTCATAGATTCGCAGCAAAAAATAACCAAAACCGAAAAAGGACGAAAAAGTTGTCAACTGTAGCATCGATGGCCATAAAAAATAGGCCATACACAGTAAACGTTCAGTGTATTATAGTAGAAATAAGACAAAAAATAAATATCGTCCGACAATTAGCTGTCCAATTACAATTGCTCCAAAGTGATGTTGCAACGTAACAGTTACGGAGGTAATTTCATTTGCGTAGCACCGAAAATGGACGAGCAGCGAGCAAGCAAATGCACCCTGGCCCCAAAAAGTAACAAAGCATTAGAGGCACAGAAAAAAAAAACACCGATCACG